GTGTGTGTGTGTGTGTGTGTGTGTGTGTGTGGGTGTGTGTGTGTGTGTGTGTGTGTTCCAGCATAACCCTGGAACGCCTCGAGCAATTTCAACCCAACTTGGTACACACATGACTTGCTCTCTGGAAAAAAATAATGTGAGGGTAAGACACCCCTAGCACCTCTCAGTGGGGGCCTGTTGTGCCTTAAACTGTACTGCCATAAAATGTCTTCTACTGTACAGCGCAGTGGAGTTGCCATGGTAATGGCTTCACGGTAATCCACAAGGGGACTCCCTCTGGTAAGAGGGGAAAATCCAACATTAGAATTTACATTTGTTCTGGACATTTTCCTCCTATAAATAAATACCTGGGCAACGCCGGGTTACTACCTAGTTGTATTATAAGATGCAAACAAAACTAATATTAGAATAATTTTGTTCCATCAACTTAGATGGAATTTGTTAATAACCAGTTTTCTATATTCCATGCTTACAGAGTCGTCGTGGTATCTAACTATACACAGACGTTAAATATACTACAAGAAGTATGCCAACGATCTGGATATCCCTATACTAGGCTTGATGGCAGCACCCCTGTCTCCCAGAGACAACAGATTGTTGATAGTTTCAATAGTAAATTTTGCGCATCTTTCATCTTTCTATTAAGTTCAAAGGCTGGTGGTGTAGGTTTGAACCTTGTTGGAGCATCTCATTTAATCCTGTATGATATTGACTGGAATCCAGCAACTGATATTCAGGTTTGTTGCCTTCTTTAATATTGGGACTGCAGAGCTATTAGCATCAATCAGAATTAACTGAAGTCCTTTTAATGATTTAATGGTTTAAACCTATTTAACTAAGTCTATTTATTAAAAGCCAGTAAAATGGCAAGGTTTGACTTCTTAGAAAAAAATTACACACAGGATGCTCAACGTTTTGTTTAGTCAGCCAAGCTTTTGTCAATGTGTTTTTGACACATTGTCATGGAGGTTCATCTACATGGTTCAACATTGATCTGATGTTACATAATTTAGTCAATCAGTCAAAAACTTGCAAAAAAATTCATTTGTTTGTTCATGAACTTACCCATAGTAAAACAGGAGTTTGGTTGTAGCCAGATTTTTAGAAACAAAATGTAATAAGCAAACATAGTGAAATAACATTGCCAAGCACATTAGCTGGAAGGCTTTATCCATCATTTATATTGTCTCATTCTCTCTTGTAGGCAATGGCCAGAGTGTGGAGAGATGGACAGAAGCATACTGTTCATATTTACAGACTACTCACTACAGGTCTGCAATGTCATACTTGTAATGCTTTTTGAAACCTCATTGGTTGGTTCCACCACAAAACCGCGGTAGACAAAAGCGCGCTCGACGAAAGCGTGTACGTGACGTCATCACAGCACGACGAAAACACCGCGCTGTGATCGATAAATGTAAAAATAAAGCAAAAACCTTACCCTAACCCCACCAAACCTAACCCAAAACCTAACCCTAAATCTAACCCTAAACCTAACCTAATGCTAAACCTAATGCTAACCCTTAACCTAACGCTAAACGTAACCCTAACGCTCTAAACCTAACCCTTAACCTAACCCTAACCCTAACCCTTACCTTTATGTGAATCGGCTTGCTTTAATTTTATTTTTATTTCAATTTTTTATTTTTTTTGTCACGCTGTGATGACGTCAAATGCGCGCTTTCGTCGAGTGCGCTTTTGTGGACCGCGGTTTTGACGGGTCATGCATTGGTTAGTGCCAATGGCTTTGACCATTCTTGAATGAAAGTTTCTTGCCTATTTCTGGTCATTATTTTCAGGAAGTGAATGAACGTTTGCTTTCTTTAATGCAGGCACAATAGAGGAGAAAATCTATCAAAGACAAATCAGCAAGCAAGCTCTCTCTGGAGCAGTTGTAGATTTTTCCAAGGGATCTGAGCACATCCGTTTTTCTGTTGAAGAACTTAGAAACCTCTTTACGTTGCATGAAGATTCCAATTGCGTGACCCATGCTTTGCTGGAGTGTGACTGTATGGGAAAGAAAGAGAATCAAGGTGAGCGGCTCCTGCCTTATTTCATACATGGGATAGTTTTAATGTTAACCTTTGCTCCTCCCCACTTTCAAATTGCAAACTGATTGCTTGCAGAAAGATCAAAAAAGTTTGCAGATGATGGCCACAACTCTCATCTCAAAGCTGCGATGCATATAAAAAAGGAGGGGGGGAGGGCGCTTTGATTGTGTGGTTGTAGCTACCCCCTTGCCGTTTTTGACCTCCGACCCTCCTTGCAGGCACCTCTGTTACAAAAGCTAGAATTGGTGGATTTGGTGAGCAATTTTATGATGTCAGTACATTGTTTCTTTATGGAGAGTTGAAACCTATGTCATTCTGTGCAAATTTTTAACTTGGTTATAATTATAGATACAGATTCAGGTCAGTTAAAAGAAAATATTTCTTTATATTGTAGTTGGGTAAATGATGAATTAGGGACGCGGTGGCTCAGTGGCTAAAACGCTGAGCTTGTGGATCAGAAAGGTCGGCAGTTCAGCGGTTCGAATCCCTAGTGCCACGTAACGGAGCTCCCGTTACTTGTCCCGGCTTCTGCCAACCTAGCAGTTCAAAAGCATGTAAAAATCCAAGTAGAAAAATAGGGACCACTTTAGTGGGAAGGTAACAGCATTCCGTGTGCCTTCGGCCTTTAGTCATGGCCACATGACCACAGAGACGTTTTCGGACAGTGCTGGCTCTTCGGCTTTGAAACGGAGATGAGCACCGGCTCCCTAGAGTCAGGAGAGACTAGCAGATATGTGTGAGGGGAACTTTTACCTTTACCTTTAAAGGATGAATTTGTTGTACCAAATATAATGGCAGCCAATTGTCAGGGCAAAATAAGAGTCAGCAGTCATGTTACAGCCAGCAACTGCACTTTCAAAAATTTTCAGATGCCACCATCTATCTTACTTATTACTAGTGAGCCCCCAAAACTTAGAAAATCTGGCCACTGTTATTCATCATGCAATCTTGAATTTTAGAGCTGGAAAACAGTGAGACCCCTCTCTGTTTCAAAGGGGGATTAACAAAGTTGTGAAAAATAAGCAATGAGAAATGTCTGAGGTCTACTAGATACATTATAATGGTCAGTTGATAACAGTTGCAGGGAGAAAAAATGGGAGAGGATGATTATCTTTTGTTAACCACTCTAGGAAACAGAAGGTCAAGTTAGAGGAGGCTAATCTAGCAAGTCACTTATTAGCTGTAGTTTCCTCAGACATCAGTGGAACGATTTGCCTCCAGAAGTTGTTGAATGCTCTAACAATAGAAGTTTTAGGGTTTTAGGGTTTCCTGCCTGAGTAGGGGGTTGGACTAGAAGACCTCCAAGGTCTCTTCCAACTCTGTTATTCTGTCATCTAGAGTACCTGGAATTCAAACCAAGGCATTTTTATAGGCATAAACGTCTTTATTTCTAAATGTTCAAGTAGTGTTGAATATTTCTCATCAGCTTATGTTTTCTTCCTGTTATTTTTCTTAGGCTGCCCTGTGATCCAAGATGTCCAGAATAGCCAAAGTGATGTAAAAGCCAAAAAGTCTCTGACTATGTCACAACTGATGCAATGGAAACACTTTTGTGTGGATCACAAAAATCTCCCTGATCCCTTCCTTGACAGGATAAAAGACAACCTTACGTTCATTTTCCAAAATGTCACAAGTTAAGCAAGTTAGCTTCTTCTTAGTTGCAGTGAGCTTGTATTCATTAGGGTATTATCATTTTTTTACAGCAGCAGCAGCATTATTAATAATAATAGGATTACTGAGGATAAAGAGCATATATCAAGGTTGACAGTGCATTATTCTTTTAAGCCTTAAAATAAACTGGGGGAAAATTTCTTTGCCACCATTTTTTCTTACAATGTCACATCATTCAAACAACTTTACAATATATTATACTTCAGTCTAACCCATCCAAGATGTTTTCTTCAACTGATGACAAGAACAGAGGCAAGGCTTTCTTTTAATCATGGTTATTTTCCTCCATCAATAATAAGCCTGGATTTGTTCTTAGAATTAGTATGTCAACAAAGATATATTGCATTATATAGTTATGAGATAATGACACTTTCTAAATAGTGGGAAAGCACGACTTTCTTCCTAGGGAAAGAAACATATCTCCCTGTGTCCCTCTAGCAACTCATATTTCATCAGATAATGTTATAGCACAAGGAAATTTTTTCCTGTCATATGTGTTCCTTGAATAACTTGTATATAATAATAATAGCACTTAGCAATAGCACTTAGACTTATATACTGCTTCATAGTGCTTTTACAGCCTCTCTAAGCGGTTTACAGAGTCAGCATATTGGCCCCCAACAATCTGGGTCCTCATTTTACCCACCTCAGAAGGATGGAAGGCTGAGTCAAGCTTGGGCCTGGTGAGATTCGATCTGCCAAATTGCTGGCAGCCGCTGATCAGCAGGAATCTGCAGTACTGCACTCTAACCATTGCACCACAGAGCCGAGGTGGCCAGTGGTTAGAGTGCAGTACTGCAGGCTACTTCAGCTGACTGCTAGCTGCAGTTCGGCAGTTCAAATCTCACTAGCTCAAAGTTGACTCAGCCTTCCATCCTTCCAAGGTGGGTAAAATGAGGACCCAGATTGTTGGGGGCAATAGGCTGACCCTGTAAACCACTTAGAGAGGGCTGTAAAAGCACTAAGAAGTGGTATATAAGTCTAAGTGCTGTTGCTAATATATAATTAATGGCATGATTTTTTTCTCTTTATTTATTCATTCCTTTATTAGCATTTTTTCTTCCTGTCCTGGTAGAATGAATTAATAGCAAATAATGTGTCATTTCCATCCATTGGTTCAATTACCCAATACTTAGTCATGGCCTCTATCTGTCGTTGAAGCTATAGGATTTCATTTCTCGATCTTAGCTTCTCAGTTCTGCTTCTGTTCAGTGTATTAGGAAGAAGGCTGTTGCTCAGTTTAAAAAAACCAGATGTTTGGCCTGCAGAAAGCTAACCTCTTTTGGAAAGTGATTTACACACTCAAGCAACTCTGATCTATGGCTTTGACTCTACAATGTTACCTTTTTAAATACGGTGACTGCTTAGTCTATGCTGAAACCGTCAAAAATCCATGGGTGGGTGGCATTTACGGGAAAGGATTGTTAGACATCTCCTGAACTGCCAGTTCTCTCTGATTTATGTTGTTCTGTTCTGTTTTTCCATGTAATATCCTTACTTTATCCTTGGTAAAATAAATCTTTTAAGACAACTGAATATGTGGAGATTGGCAAAGCCTGGGCCTCAGGCATAGGTCCACTCCTGCATTTGTTAAGAATGTGGGGATTTCCCTTTAAGTGTTTCTTTCTTTCCAAAGGTTGCTGTAATGGTAGCTGTCATAACACTTATTTATAGGATGCAAAACTTTCAAAAGTTCAGTCAATTTACATCAGCAGGATATCCACAAATATTTTCCATCCTCATATTTTCTCTACAGTCACTTGGGAATGTAAATCAAAAGTTGTTGAAGTCCTTGTGGTGATTTTCTGGGAGGAGAGATCCTCTTATTACTATCAATCCTAGCTTAGAATATTGCAGTTGGGAGATCTATTTTCAGGAAGCTATGATCAGGTGGCTATTTTTCCATGAGCAGTTTCAGAAAGCAGGACAACAGTGGGCACTCATACCGATCCTGACCCAATGCTTTTAACTACACATTCAAACTCTGTTTATGTTACTAACAACATTAAAAAGAACAAGTACATTTGTTGATAATAGTCTTTCAAGTGATAACCGACCAGTTCGTACAAACAGTGCCTCTCCAGTTTATCTAACCTTCTTAATTGAATTAAGTTATATAAGCCAGTGCCGACTGCAAGTACACTATGTGCAATTAAATATAATCAACAATATTATTTTGTTTGTCATAATCATGCCATAAAAGTACACTTGCTTCAAAGTGTTCTACTTAAAATTAAGAGATTAATTAATTCAAGCTATTCATATCATTCAATTAATAAAAGCTTGGATTGGAGGCCATGCAGTAAGCTAAAACATAATGCGGTTTGTTTGGTGAGTCCATCTGTTTCCTATACTCATACATTATTTTGTTTATTTAATCAAATGTCTGTAGCCACCCAACTCACAAATTTGTTTCCCCAAAACATCACTTTAGTCATTCTATTCATCTGATAAAATGATTCCTGACTTTTTGCAACCATAGGCTAAGAAAACGTTTCTTCTAGAGGGACTTCAGAAAAAGTAACTTTTCTCACACTCATACATGGTGGCAATGCACACATATAAGATTGTCCTGTCAAAAAGTCTGAAAGTTTATTGTTGAGGTATATATAGAAGTATTTTGCCCTGCGAAAGCGATTTCATAATTTTAAAAGATCAGACTCAAGGGCTGAAAAAAATTACTGGTAATCCTTTCCCCTAGAGTGACCTGCAGAGGGCAGCATCAGAGCGTATACCTTATTGTACAAGTCTTTCAAGTTTTATTGGTTAAAGTTCTAAATGTCTATCTGCTATTATTTAAAAATCTAAACAATTCACTTCTTAGCTAAGAAACTGAATGCAAGTAGTCAGTTTTGTTTCAATAGAGATGATTTGAATACGTCTGAAATGTCACACCTTTAGTTCTTGCAGTCTTGCAGCAACTATTCAGAATAACCCTATACTCCTGGTTAAACAAGATTCGTAAGAGAAGATTTTTCAAAAGGAAGTTTCTTTTCTGCACTAACCTGACTTATCAAATGTTTCCAGGCTATAAAAAACTGGGAAAATCCATAACCTACCTATAGCCTCCAGGGGCCTTTTTTTGCAGTTTGCCATGAATACTCATAAATCTGCTGTCAATTTAAAGTCATTTTCATAACTATTATATGTGGCAGTTCTTGTCAGAAGAACATTGTGAATCTGTAGCTTGGGAGATAGACAATTTGTGGGTCCAGGTTTCTTGTGCACTCCTGAAATCGCTTCCCACCCTTTCCACTGGGGGTTATAGGTAGGTTATGGATTGTTTTGCAGCTTCTAATGATCTTTGCAGCCACAATTGCTAAAAGTTGATAACCTGCTATTTTGAATTTAATCTCCTTTGCCCCAATTCCATTCCTGATCCTGGAACAACCAGAATTGCTGGTCACTTACAGAAAAAGAAACCATTTTCGGGAAGAGTAACCAGAAGAAGAGGAAGAGTAAAAAAAGGAAGAAGAGGAGGAGGAGGAGGAGGAGGAGGAGGAGGAGGAAGAGATAGAGGAAGAAGAGAAAAGAGCATAGAAAGAAAGGAAATCAGTGTGGTTCAGGTTTTATTTGAGCATGGAGCTGATGGGTTAATTTGAGCCAGCCACTCTCTTCCAATTCATCCTGTCTCAAAAGGCTGCTCTTTAGGAAAACAAAATAAAGGACAAACGCCATGCAGATTACAATAAACTGACAAAAATTCAGTGAATACAGTACAAAGAGACATTGCTTACCAACCTCCACATTTAGTTACTTTATAACTTACATTTTAATGTTCTATTTTCTTTAAGTTGGGGACTTGGTATGTATTCTATGGAGATTCATATTTGTATTTAGCTATGCCTGAACTCACATGCCTCCCCCATCTATATATATAAAAACAGCTATGCGCATGCATGTGTATGTTCCAGCATAACTGGAATGCCTTAAGCAATTTCAACCAAATTTAGTACACAGATGGCTTACTTTCTGGAAACAAATACTGTGAGGGTAAAATATCCCTAAAACCCCCTGTGGTATGTGTTCTGTTAAGATACAGCCTGTTGTCCCTTAAAATGGCTTCTACTGACTTCTACTGTACAGCACAGTGGAATTGCCATGGTAACGGCTTCACAGTATTCCACAAGGGGGCTCCCTCTGGTAAGGGGAAAAATCCAACATTAGAAATTACGTTTGGTCTGAACATTTCCCCCCTATAAATAAATACCTGGACAACACCAGGTTATCGGCTAGTGTGTTATATAATAGAGCTGTCTGTGGTTTAAGAGTGCTGCATGAAGTTTGAGGGTCCCTCTCACATAAAGAGTAGAAATCTTTACATTCCTTTTATTAACTTCTGCCTCTTAAATTTTCTTGAACGACTCGATTTGTAGTGGTCCCGTCTCTCCTCCCAACTTTATAGGACTCCATCTCACCTTCAACTTAACATTACTCATAGAGCATTTATCCTTCATTTATCCTATATATATAAAACCAAGCAATGCTTAGCCAATCACAAAACTATGTCTCACTTATTTTGGCCATGTCATGCAGGGAAATTCACCGGAGAAGACAATTATGCTTGGGAGAGTTAGCAGTAAAGGGAAACCAGGCTGCCAAAAAACATGTTGACTGGACACCATCAAAGCTGATACTAGCCAGAGTATAAAACAATTCGAAGAAGTAGTGCCAAATTGGAAGAGGTAGAGAGACCTGGCCCATAGACTCATCAGGAGTTGGGCATGACTGACTGGATAACATCATCATCATCGCTTAGCAGGAATTGATATAATATGATTTCTTTTAGTAGTTTCTATGCAGGACAAGAAAATTAAACTTTTGAACATTAAGAGTTGTTTAAAAAGTCTATGCTTGCTGATCAGCAGAAGGAAGACTGCACACTTCAATCTACATTGCATATATCTCCTGTTCCATTCATTTGCTAGTTATTACCCTTAATCAAAAGCAATTTTACTTGTTTAATTATTGTTTAATAATTATATGTAATTATTAAACAATTATTAATTGTTTAATTATAGCAAGTGGTCAAAAAGATGCAAGAAAAATATTGTAAGCTACCGAAAGCGAACAGGGTTTTGGAAAAAGCAAGGGAATCTGTCATTTAGTAACCAAAACTAGTTCTGCTATCAAGGGCCAACTAATACATAGCCATCTGTCTTTTTGTAGCCAACTAAATTGTCTCTACTAGATTAAATATTCATAAGAACTTGTATGGAAGTACGCCTAGTTCAGGAATGAACACCCAACATCTCCAGTAAGTAGGGCTATGTTAGGCACATGGGAAGAAGTGGGATTTCCTTGCCCATTTTTTAAAACCTAGTTTGGAATGTTGACTTCAGATAAGTGTGTTACATACCTCAAAACAGCAGGAAGTTGGGATGACCCTTTTCCAGTTATGGCCAGAGA